CAACTAATCGTCGATTCCCAGCAGAATAGATAGGAAAATATGGGAAGGGGGGGAAGACGGAATCCAAAAGAGCATGGGAAAATCTGGTGAATCCTTGGATTTGTGTGATTCTGTTGCCAGACCGAAGCGTCTGTGAGGCACAGGCGCGCCATGAGGACGTTCGGAACAAATTACCCCCGTCAAAATTAGCTTCAAGAGCGCGTTACGCGCTGAGTATTTGTTGGAGCCCACTCCAATGTCGGCCATCGTGGACCTTCCGAATCGCGCCAGCCCAGACCGCGATTTGGCGTGTTTCGACATTGAAAGGGGAAGCAATTAAGAGCCGAAAGGAAGCGATTACACTTTTTGGGTCTAATTACCTCGGGGGTGGTTGTTTCCTTCCTTCGCCTCTTTGCATCGCAGAAGGCTAGAGACATACGCATCCACTTCGAGGGTCCGCGTGGATCTCTTGAATTGGCGCGCTGGGCCATCGCCCCAGCGCGGAGAGTTCTGCGCGAATCCCCGACAATTACACGCTTGTGCAGTGTCGTCGAACTCTGCTGTATCAAGCTCAGGAGTGAGGTGCTGCAAAGACGATTGCAATAAGATCACATCCTCTAGACCATGCTTATCCAAGACATCTGGGCAGAACTCCTGACGTGAAAGGTCATGCAGATTTTTTTCGTTCTGCAGCGTTCTCGTCGAGAGGGCTTCTGCGCGCAAGGGAGGAAGGTCCAGCACCCGTTCAAGAAATCCGCGAGGACCTCCAGAAGTTTTCGCTGGCACAGGTGTTCCTGTTTCTGACGTCGCCAACGTCGAGTCGAGCAGTCCTGGGCCGTAGACATGTTCGTGCCCGCGGCCTCGTGGGCCCGGGCTCCCGGGCCGCGACCCCACGGACACGGGGCGTCTATTCGCGGATACCCCGTGCGGAACGCAGGTGTGCGACCGCGCATCCACGGGATCGCGCTACGCAGTCCACACCGCGAGGGCGTGAATGCAGGGCAGGGGGAAGACAACAACGACAACAACAACCGCCTTGAGGGGCGGAGTTCGGATGGAGAGCCGATCTCGCCCTTGGGTCCACCTGCAGCCGAGGTCTCATGGGCCACCCAGTTGGTCACATAGGCTTCGGAGCCTGCACGATGGTGGAGGAGGAGGAGGAGGCGGAGGAGGACGATACAAAGAAAGATGAGGTGAAGGAAGAGAAGGGGGCAGTGGATGTGCTCGCCGGTCGTTGAGAGGACTTTTGCCTGGAGAAGCTCGCGGCCAAGTTCCCGTCCTCCACGCGCGTCGAGCGGCTGAAGGGCCAGTGCGCGGAGCGCCAGCGCTTCTTATCTGTCCTCTCTCGTCTCAGCTGCGGGTTATGGCAGGGCTTCCTCCCCGCTGTCCTGGAGAGGGGAGGAGGTGGCAGGGATGATGATGATGGTGATGATGATGATGACGATGATGACGATGATGATGATGATGATGATGATGATGATGATGATGATGATGCTGATGATGATGATGATGATGATGATGATGATGATGCTGACGATGATGATGACGATGATGGTGATGCTGATAATGCTGATAATGCTGATTATGATGATTATGATGAGGATGAGGATGAGGATGGTAATGATGACGAGGACGAGGATAGTGATGATAATGCTGATGATGATGCTGGTGATAATGGTGGAGGTGATTGTGGTGCTGATGATGCTGACGACGACGATGGTGATGATGCTGGTGATGAGGATATAGATGATGATGATGATGCAGATGATGATGATGATGATGATGATGATGATGATGATGATGATGATGATGATGATTGATGATGATGAGGATGAGGATGAGGATGAGGAGCGATGAGGATGAGGATGAGGATGAGGATGAGGATGAGGATGAGGATGAGGATGGGATGAGGATGAGGATGAGGATGAGGATGAGGATGATGATGATGATGATGATGATGATGATGATGATGATGATGATGATGATGATAATGATGATGATGATTATGATGATGATGATGATGATGATGATGATGATGATGATGATGATGATGATGATGCTGATGATACTGACGATGCTGCTGATGATCCTGATGATACTAATGGTGCTGATGATGGTGATGGTGATGGTGATGGTGATGATGCCGATAGGGATGATGGTGGTGGGGGTGAGCAAGAGGAGGAGGAGGAGGAGGAGGAATTCTAATTCTTATTCTAATTCTATCTAAGGCGGGGGTCCTGCTCTAGGCAGGCCGCACAAACACATTCATGCATGATCAGGGAACGCAGTGCCCGACTTTGGAGGCAGCCCCCTGGAAAGGCGCGAGAGCACCTCTCGCCCCGCCTTCGAGGGGCATGGCCCTCGGGCGGGGTCTCCGCACAATCCATTCAGGATGCGGGGAGGGGCAACAGTGCAGAAACCTCCACAAACCGTGCAGAACAGTACACCTCGCTGCACCGACAGTCGGTGGGAGGGGTGACATCGGTCGGCCAACGGGTGGTCCAGGGCACCCCCACACAGGTCCGACGGCCCCAGGCAATCAGGGGTGGGGTCCGCGCCAGAATCACCCCTCTCCTCCCGCGGCACGAGCAGCTGAACACGCTGCTGGATGATACAACGGGGCGTGCATGCATTTGGCCAGAAGTTCGCAAGCTGGCCTCTCAGACTATGGCTCAACCCACATTGCTTGCACTTGATGCAGGCCCTGCGCACAAGGGGATCGTGCCCTGCATCTCTTAACCTACAAACACGCTCGGAAAGAGAGGAGACCACCCCACGAGTACGTCGAGGCTCGCGGAGCCCCTTCCTCTCACGTTCCGAGGAGAACAAAACTTCACGCTGAACAGCGAGGATTCTTTTTAAAACTCGAACGGCGAGCTCATCAGCCCGCACAATAAGAGAAACAAGATCCTCGCCCAGCTGGGCCTTCTTGGCAGCCCAATCTGCAATGCAGTCTGCCGCCTTATTCAAAAACACCTCTACGTCAGACAAGCCATATTTTCGGCCTGGGCTTGGGTGGGGTGTCCTTTGGTCCAGATCAGTCGGGGAGAGCCCTTCCGTTCGGAGAGCACCCTGTGAAATTCAGCCCATAGATCCAGCATGCTAGACTTCCTCTTGGCCCGTAAGCTTTTCCTCGCCCCCTTCACGACTAAGAGGCAATCGCAATAAACTCGAACATCTCCAACGCTGGCTCGCAATAGCTCGATCAAAGCAAAGAGCTCTGCCCTTGGCGAAGACTGACGCACACACGGCAATGATCCACATCGAGCCGCATCTATCCTACCATCTGGGCCAAGGTGAACCAACGACCATCCACACCGACGTAGTCTCCAATCCTTCGAGAATTTGCCTCCAGATCCATCAACACCCCAGACGCCGTCACGTATGAACTCCCCCTCAACGCACCGACCCCGCTCCCAAACCAAACGCTGAGGAGGGGAAGGTGCCCTAAGGAATCGCCCGACGGCGGGAGCCCCCGACACCAAAAACTCATCCTGTCGTTTTCAAGAATGGCCCTGGGAGCCAAAGAGCCGGTATTTTCAATAGTGTAGTCAGGGATATCGCGGTTACACACACACTGCCAGTACCGATGCAACAAGGTCTCGGGGGCTTCTCCACATCTACCGCAAAGCCCATTACTGTCGGAAACGTACCCAGCAGCATGCAATCGCTCTTCAGGCCACGACGCGGCATGAGCACATTACGCAGTATGCCCACCGCCTCGTGCTCACCATCTCGGGCAAGCTTGGCCAGAAATCTACGCACAGGGGTAACATCAACTCCTCTCTCCAGGCCCGCACCGCACAAGTGCTTGGAAGCTTGGCCCCAGGACACCACAGAACACGTCCTCAACAGGGCGCCCCATAGCTGGAAAGGGAAATCACCATCATTCAGCCTCAAAACCGAATCCTCGGTGCGCCAATACACTGGTGACTTTGCCTGCCATCCTAGATCACGCAGCACAGCAATGGTGGCCGCCATCGGTCCTTTAACTATCTGCCAGCGGTACTTGGTCTGATCCATCTTAGTAGATATCTTCTTCCAAACTTCAGAACACAACCGGCGCGATTTATGATCAAGATCCACCCAATATACAGCCCAACCGTTAAACTGTTCATAGCGAAGCCTAAACTGGGGGTCATCCTTCGCATCCCCAAGTAAGCCAAGCAATGTAGTGGTACAGGCACCTGGGGCCCACAACCCGGGACACGTGGCAGCCTGAGCACGCATGGACTTAACTTGCCCAGGAGAAAGCCCAAAGACCTTATGGCCCCACGACCCCACGGCCAGGACCCCAGGTTTATACAGCTTGCACGCGCGGCCACCCAGCCGCGTTACCGATAGGCGATGGCACGCCTTTGTCGCCACTTACTCATATTTCGGCGAATTCCTGCAGAAGACATGACCCCCAGATCTCGAACCGAGTCTCTCCACTGAATAGGTAGGTTGACTGCAGAGAACATCCGCATGATCTCGGCTCCGAGCAGTCTGTGGGGAACCAAAAGGGTACTTTTGTCAGCGATGAATGTGCCTGCGGCCTCCAGCTCGCGGCACAGGTGCAACGCAGCAGGCGCGAAAGCGGCGACGACCTCTTCACGGGGTCCTTGCTGTGTGTTGAGTAATATCGTCCACGTATCCCTTGGTGCGGACAGGCAAGAAGGAGGCGTGGGCCTGATCAAGTATACCATGCAAATATATTTTGATCCACGGCATGGATTGGCCACAGCCAGGCAAGATGCCCATTCCAGTGGGGATAAGGTTTGAACTTGTGAGCACCTGGGGGTCTGGGGCGGTCGCGGAACTTGTTGCGGGGTATCATTGAGGAGCCTCGCCAGAGCAGCGCGCGCATAATCTAACAGTTGCAGCGTTTTTTATAACAAAAGCGTTTTTGAAACAATTTTAAAAGACAAAAACATCGATCGTAATCTGGGTTCGTTTGCGCAGGTTCGACTGGTGATTGAGAATGCAAAACGCTCCTACAGAGCACAGCCCCAGTGCCCCCAGCAGTCGCGCAGTGCACCACATTTTGGGGCGGTGGGGAAGCGGCTTCAGTAGTCTCAGTGGGCCCTGCGCGTCCAGGATCATCATGTTCGAACGCGCTGAACCGCTCATGCACCGCATGTTTAGTTTCGATATTGGGTCCATTACCTTTATGATGTAGTAAGCCTCCGTGGTATGTAATCGGTGCCTGATGGTGCCCTCGGGCTTCTGTTGGGAATCCCTCGCCTGCCTCTAGAGCCCGTTTTGGTGCCCATAGGACGCCAGATGGTTCGTTGCGTGTCCAAAAGCTTCCTCTGGGCACCACCTTCGCTCGGCAGCCTCGCCCAGTCGTTCCGCTGGCCCGCCGCTGGTTCCACGCGGGCCCCGAGGGTCTAGATAGGCTAGCAGTGTCTCACTGTTTCCCAAGAGCCCCCATGAATTATCTGTTTGCCCCCCGACGCTTCCATTGAAGCAGCGATTATTATCGTTGCGTCTGCGGGCCCCGTGCATTCTGTGGACTGCGGTCGCGCAGAGTGTCACGCTCCGCGGCATTAGGCCCAAGCGTGGCCCAAGAGGGGCCAGACCCTTGGGCTGCCGCTGCCGACCCCTTGACGGCCGCGGGGCTTGGCGCCCTGGTGGCGGTCGCCAATGCGCGGCCCAAGCTGGGGCGCCAGGAGGTGGTGGCCCGCGTGGTGGCGGGCCGGAAAGCTGCCGCGGCGCGGCGCAAGTTGGCGCTGTTCCTGTGCTTCGCACGCGCCCGCCAGCCCATCCAGCAACCAGCGTTGCAGGTGTGTGCGTGGCTTCGCATGGTCTTGCATTTCGTGGCTCCGCGCGTACGCGCCCCCGCGCGTACGCGCGCTCGCGGGCAACGAGGAACGCGCAATGTGTCATCATGTATAATTCCACGTTGGGGCCTCCAAAATACGAGTGGAACAATTCGTTCTCACCATTGATTTTTTGAGATTGAGATGGCTATTCTGCATGCGCATTTGTTTGTGCGCGCGCGCGTGCGCGCGCGCGCACGGGCAACCCTGGCAAGTTCAGTGTGCCACATCGTATGTTTCCGCGTTGAGGCCTCCACAATATGAGTGAAACAATTGGTTTTCACAATTGAGTCTTCGAGCTTAAGATGGCTTTTCTGTATGCGCATTTGATTGTGCGCGCGCGTGCGCGCGCGCGTGCGCGTACGCGCGCGCACATGCAACCCTAACAAGTTCAGCGTGCCACATTGTAGAATTCCACGTTGGGGCCTCCAGAATATGAATGGAACAATTGGTTTTCACCATTGAGTTTTTGAGATTGAGATGGCTACTCTGTATGCGCATTTGATTGCGCGCGC